TCATTATTCACATATAACTGGAGGGTTCTGTGGTGGAGTTACAGAGAGTGTGTTCATAACTGATATTTTACCCACTACCATTGACAGTCGACCTAAACACTGTAACAAACCTCTTAATAATATCAGAACACACTGTATATGTATAATTTCACTGTAATAGATGCTGTACCCTCATTAGATACTGCCTATTTCCATACGTCCCAAATGCAAATCCCATATTTACTCTGTGGCTGAATCAAACAGACTTTTCCTGTTGCGGCTACTTCCAGGCTATGCTTGGTATATTTTTGTTAACTCATCTATTATGGAAGATAACCATGCTGGATTTAACCTTGTTAATGGCTATTTGTTTCTTGTAGTATGATGATGATGCATTCTTTGATGATGAGGCAGAAGATATGTCAAAAAAGTCTCAAGAAACCAATTGCTATGAAGGATATTTAACTATGAAAGGTATAACATAACATAACTATGTATTGTTTATGTATGTAACATAATAAAAACCATATGAGAGCTTAGTATAATGTAATAAGCTTTGATTGTGGTTTGACACAGTTTGAAGCCATTCCATGATGATTCTTATATGCATTGTTTTATAGGAGGAGTAATGAATGTTTGGAAGAAGAGATGGTTTGTTCTCAGAGATGATAATTTGATGTGGTTTAAGGCAAAACAGGTAGATACTGATGTTTTGTATGATCTTTTACCAGTATGTGTTTTTAGCTCTACAACACAGTACACATAAAGTCATATAAATAAGATAAAATTGTGGGACTTGGATTAAATAGAGAATATTCTATTGTATTTTTTCTGTAGGAAGCATTGAAGTCTGGTTGGTTAATGAAGAAAGGTGGTGGTACTGGTACACTGTCAAGGTAAATGATTATTTGAATCACCTCAATACAGTACAAGAGAAAATCATAAAATAACTGCTCCTTTGATCTTAACATGGTTTGTGCTATGCTGTAAAATCACAACTATCAATGTTAATCTATAATATATTTGTCTGCCTTTTGCTTGTAGACGCAACTGGAAGAAACGTTGGTTTGTTTTAAAAGACACATTATTGGTGTATTATGACTCTGACGCTGAGTCTGCTAAACTGCTGGGCAAGATTGATATTAGGGCAGCCAAGTAAGTACTAATGATCAGTCCTTAATTGCAAAACACTGTAAAGCATAGCATATATACTCTATATCGCCGTTGTACATTGAATCACTTGCAAGTAAAAAAAAAGATGGCTGCAGTCTTGTGCCCAGGGGTCCAGAAGGCGCCATCTATTGAAATCCAGTTTTGTCAACTGAACCTAAGGGATTATTCTCCAAGATGCTGTCTTACTGAGGCACTGGGTGAAAATGCTAATCTGTCCCTCTCATGATTGGCTAAGTCTCTCTGACCGCCTTTCAAAATCAGGGCTATTGCTGCTTTAAAGATGTAATGGTATTATACTTCCAAAATCATAAACTATTTTTAATTACTCATTATTAATTGCTTTAATTGTTTATATTTTGTTTGTACAGAGATATTGTAGATGCCAGCAGTGCTAGAGAGAATGCCTTGAATATTGTCACATACAGTAGAGTGTATCATATCGTAGCTGACACTGCCGATGAATGCAGGTGAGTAACGTCAGAAATACACACGAACACACACGATTACTAGAACTTGTACAGCTTCTCTTTCGTATCTGACGCATGCGCTTACGGTTGTAGTTTACGTCATGAATATTAATGTAGTGAAATACAAATACATATTCTGACAAGTATATTTAGGTGTATCATGACGTAGCTGACATACTATGTTTAGTATGAAACTGAATTTGTATGTTTTGATTGTGAATTTAAAAAGTGTGATGTTTGTCTGTTTTCATGGCAATTTGAAAAGTGTGATTTCTGCCAAGAATATGACAATAATTTTATGTACCAATAATGTTTATGTTCACATTGACGTAAAATGGCATAACATTTAAGCATTGATGTATTTTCACTTTTAATAGCGTGCAAAGAAAATGCTTCATACACCTTGACTTGATCAATCGAGTTTTACAGATATGTTCAAGATTAAATTCATGTATTATTGTACAATAGATAGGAATCTAGTTAAATGTTTGTCTCACAGTTTCAGGAATTACTGGATTAATGATGTAGATATTATCTAGATTGTTTGGATAAACAAATTTATCATTCTTTTCAATATTTTTTACAGTGAATGGTACAGTATTCTGATGAAAGTATTTCGATGTAAATACAATGAACTGAAAGATTTACAAGATGAACAAGCTAATCCTAAGAATGCCATTGGCTCATTGGACGTGGCATTGATTGATTCTCTCCCACCTATCAACATACCTTCAAGGTTTGTACTAGATGATGTCATATGCTATTTTTAGACTGACATCATAGGCAATGTCAAACCCTGATTGGTTGTGAGTGGTATTGCCTTAGTCGTTGTTATGACTACATCATTGAAACTCTACAGTTTTTGAAAGATTAAATAATCAGATCTCTTGTGTATTTTCTATCTAATCATTGTATACATATTTCATTAAGTAACTGTTCTGTCATCATAGATTTTTTAAATAAATTGTTTACCTAAGAATATCAATTGTGAAGGTCAACATAACATAATGGCACACAGGCCTGGGTAAACATTATCGAAAAAAAAAACTCTTGTAACATGTTAATCAATTCATCATGATTTGAAAACACTAGAGACCTTTCAGGAAGCTGTTGAACTAGTTTCTCATATCAAATTACGAGAACACACCCTGGAAAATCTGATTCACTCCAAATGTTGCAACATTTATATAGAGATTTTTTTTACTAGGTTTGTCTGCAGTGGAGGTTTAGACCACAATCTGGAAGAGTGGTACATATTTTACAACAACTTCTACCTGTTTTATTCTTTCTTGCAACAATTGAATACATATTTGTTTTTGTTGCCTTGTAGACCCAATGCCTTTGCTATAGTCACTGCAGACAGAGTGTATAACATGATAGCAGAATCCGCAGAAGAAATGAACAATTGGCTTACAGGTGAGCTGAATGTGAATCATCTATGCGTCGTTTCATGAATCATGAAATCCACTGTGGGACATCCAATAGTAATAGTTCTTCTAAACTGATGGAATATTTTACTGTGATTGTAATGATCTTGTCTCATTTCTCAGTACTTTACCATCATAAAACACGTGATGGTTACAAGAAACAAGATACTTTACTGAGTGGTTGGTTGAGTAAAGAAACCCATGGGTCATTAGCCAAAGGTGGCTCTACAAAGAAGAAGAGATTCTTTGTATTAACGGGTAACACCATGGACTTCTACAAAGGAGTGGAATCAACACAGAAACTTGGAACTATTGTATTGAATAGTTTATGTTCTGTTATTCCCCCTGACGACAAGGCATTCAAAGAATTGGGTATGTATTGAAATATTCGGTGGTTTCAAACTAGAATAATGATAATATCTCACTGTAGGACTACCCGCTGACCACCATCAGATATTGAGATGATCAGTGAACACTACATAGTTTATTGCATTCATTCATTCATTCACACTGATTATTGGGTAATGTACTTGGTGGTCTTGGAGATATGCATGTGTAATTAATAACTATCACCTTGTAGGATGGACATGGCTGAATATTTTTTTACAAATGAATTTCTTGAAAATTTTGCTTGTGTCTGGTTTTTCAAAAGTGTGAAAGAAAAACTTTGGGGTCACCAAACTAGCTTTTGAATTAATTCTGACCTTCAGTTGTACGTATCTTGACTAATTTTAAATTCAAAATGGCTGCCAGGATTGGTTTATAATACAAAGTCATTGTTTCTTTGAAAACAATTTTAGGTACTGACTATTTTTTCATTTATTTGAATCTTTCATATCAATGAGAACTCTGGTTTCCCTAAATTTGTCGTAATTATTACAGAGAGTTGAAGCCAGGTCCATCCATATATCGAAACTAAGATGTTTCTATTTCTCATTCCTAATCAGTTAACATGCACCATAGATGAGGTTTACCATACACTGCACAAATAAGTGAAAACTCAACTAATTAACAAACAAACACACCTCTAAGGGTTATATGGGTATCATCATCATCATCATCTTCCTCCCTCCTGTCTTTACTAACTATAAAAATGTAGTGTTTTTTTTTTTCCCTATTTACTGCCTATCCTCATCACGACTAGTCTTTGTAGGGAGGAAGAGACACCATTCATTTAGTGGTGCAGTACTACTTAATGATTATAACAACACACAACGTAGATCATGTCTTCCTCTCTCTGGATCACAAAGTTTCAGACAATCACGGTCACCTAAAAAAAGTGGTAGGTTCTTAGTAGTAGTCGTAGTATTAGTCGTAGTTGCATACGTACTTGCACGCTACTTGTTGTCTTGTTGTGCATGTTGTCTTGAGTTGCATGGCCATTTATGTCTTGATTATTGTCTGCACGAATAGTTGTGACAAAAATGTGGAACTATTTTTTTCATACGTGGAAGGATAATAACATAGTTGAGAATAGGGTTTGGCCATATTGGCGTATTGATATTGATAAATTACTAGTACTTTAGTTCCAAGTTCCAGAAAATATACTGTATATTGTTCTGGTTGATAGAAATGTTACAGTTTATCTCATGCTAATCTGTCAAATTGCAACAAGCTTATATATTATTTTCAACAAGTTTGTAACTAAGTGGTTCTTAGGTAACTAAGTAATTGATGACAGTTGAAAAAGATTATAGCATTGACTTTGAGATAACAGTTGAAGTCTTCTAGGTGAACAGGAAATTTATTTGAATAATAACACATATTACTCGGCTCTCTGATATGAATGGGTGAATTGTGGAGATGAATAATCATACTGTCATTTTTTTGTCACAAAAGTTTGAAAATTATATTTATCTTTTGAACAATATTTTAAGCGATATTCAAAGAAAACAAAGTGATCGTGCATACAGCATGCATTAAACTTACCTCACAAATGTGCATTTCATTACTTTATGTTAATCAACCTCTTTAACTTAAAATTCAACCAATCACATAACATTAAATAAATAATATGTCTAATTTGTCGATAACTTTCATTGCTAACCTGCAACAAGCTTATATTAACACTTACCCATAGTAAACTACTTATCACAATATTTGAACTAAGTTTTATAATATTTACTTGCATGAATACAAATATACATATTGTTTGGTAATTGTATGTATCATGTACTTTTATAATAATTGTATGTTGTTTAAATGTTGAACTAAATCCTAGATATATACACTGGTATTCCAGCATAGTATCAATGAATACAGTAATGAATTCACCTTACACCATTAACATTGATTCCCATTACTGATGTATTAATACTCATCAGTTATAAACATGTGTGGTATCAGTCTTGGAGACTGATGGCAATAACAACTGCGCTTTTTAAATTCACGGTTTTATCATTTAGATAGTGTTTTCTATGCTAACTTTTACCTATTCACTGGGTTTTAATTTAGCGCATTTTCCAGTCAGCAAAATGAGCAAAATTAAAACCCAGTGAATAATTAACCCCTTTTACAGTATATAGAAAGAGTCATAGATTTGTTTGTGATATCTCATTCCTCCCTTTGCTGCCTTGTAACTAATAGATAGACAGCTGTATTAAACTAAATGACGAAGGAATATTGGCCAGTCATTGAAACTATAATCTGATGCCATCATGGTGTTAAGTGTACTGTCAATTGTCAAATACCAAATGTGGTTTCTGTAGCAAAATGCACTGTATTACTAAATACACAGTTAAAATTGACCACAGTGGAGTATTCATGTTTTGTTTACAGCTAGTTTCATTTTGTTTTGTTTTGAGTGAAAATCTGTACATGTAAAAAAAAAACAAAAAAAAACCTAAATGTAAATAAAATTGTTCTCATGAGCAATGTTTTCTATAGAAGGCTTGTTGTACACCCTGGCACATACCTATAGTTAGGTAAAAAAGCAAGAATAACAGCAGTCCTTGGCACAGAAAAACTCTTCCCTCTGGGCAGTAATACAGTACAGTAATTGCCTGGTCTGAACCATTCTGCAATGGAGTAACTGGGTGCCTTGTCTGAGAAAACATGCAAAGCTTCGCTTGCAGCCTTTATATAGTTCATATTATATTTATGAGGCACCTCAAGATTAATATAGTTCATGCTATATTGATTGAGGGAATTAATTTTGAACGCAATTACTTTTGAACATTTATAATTGAGTTATTGTTTGTGTCAATACAGTTTTGTATTTTATTTCTTTATTTCAGACTAGATCATCATCGTTTTTGTTTATAAATTCATTAATTTTAATTTGCTTATTATCATCTTATTTTATTACCTTGCCCGTACCATCAAAGATGAAAGGGAAAGGTATATTAAGGGGAAAATTTTGTCCAGCGTTGTCGTTATCGTCGTCGTCGTTAATAATTGTTATTGTGTGCATAATAACTTTACTAATTCTATTCCAAACTTCATCAAACTTGGTCACCTTATTCATCAGTATAAAGTCTTCCCTGAGTTTGAACAACAGATGTCCTGTATGAAAATATCATGCAAAAATTAAGAAAATCTGATAAAATATTTTGACTGTTTCTACTTGACTGATCACTGGTGATACACATCAAAGGTCACTGATCTCAGTGGAAATGTGCATTGTTGTATGTGTTCAATGAAGCAAATGATTTATCTTGTAATAATATCCTTGGTAATGTGTCT